GATCCAGTTGTGCTTGCTGTAAATCAAATAGTTGCTTTGTCGGCGCTGTGAGCTGGTGCCCCTTTTGGACGCCATCTTTGCTCGTCTGCTTGCTAACAGATGCTAACAGCAGGTAGGATGGACGGGGCTCACTCTAGTGTTATTTAACTCTATGGGTTTGAGAAACGGTTGATGTAACGGTTCAGAAAGGAGCGTACCAGGATGAAATCATAATAAAATGCCAATACTTTGTCATTAGCCTCAGTCAGACTAGCCGTTAGCTCATCAGTCTGGTCAGAATAAATTTCTCCCAATTGAAGCTGTTCAACAACAAGTGAAATATTATTTGTTCATGACTTTCCAACAGACTCCCACTTCAAGTTATACAACGAATGTTTTATATTTTTATTGAAGTTCAGCTGATCTGCTTCATTTGAAGATGAGGAATAAATGTGCAGAAGACAAACAAAAATTTTTGCACTGCATCTTGCAGGGGACTCCTTACAAGGGTGAAAAATGTCAAGGCACTCCCTCATAAACCCCATGTTGTTTAAAAATTATTTACTCTTAGTCATTTTAACCCCTAAATGCCATGGGAATATTAATTTTTGTTGGGTTTAATATGTTTCTTTTACTAGTGCATTGTTCCCCATATTCATTTTTTAAATAAAAAACAAATTAACATTTTTTTTTATTATTATTTGAGGACCCCCATGATATGGCTCGTGGACTCCTTGGGCTCCTGGGACCCCAGTTTGAGAACCTCTGATCTAGGAAGAAGCCATCAAGTGCAGATACAATGTATTTCCTCATCTTAATGTCTGTTTTTATTCGATTTGTACAAAGTCCAAAACAGAAGAGCACCTTTAAAGTGTTCATTTCAGAAATGATTGAAAACAGGTCTGAAGATGTGCGGAGGAAAAATCAACCTGAAACACTTATGAGCTTTAAAAACAGATTAATATTGATCGTCTCTTACGCTCCTCTTTCTGTAAACAAATAGTTTTCAGAAGAAAACGCTAAGTGCATTGATCTCAGGATGGTTCATTGTGGTTAAGAATAATAAAAACGCACTTTGTTGACAGCCACGAACAAAAGAGGCAAATAAAAGCATTAATAATGTGTTCTTACATGAAATGTGAAGAAAAACATCTATTTTCAAACCTTCATGAATAAAATCCTGCAAAAACAAATAAGTTTTTCCCATGAATGTAATTTCCCCGTTAGATTGGAGTCGCCCACTCGGACTCTGACCATGGAGGCTCCCAGAGGGGTGGAGGTGAGCGCTGCAAAGGGACCACTGAAGATCAGCAGCAGGAAGGACCTGCAGCTGGACTCCACAGAGGGAGAGGTGAGAAGAATTCAGGTTGCACTGGGATGGAGAAGATCCACATGGTTTGTTTGTATTTTC